GAATTGTAGAGGTCTCTCTCCTGGCGGCTTTTCGGGTCCTACATTTGGACCAACCAGAATAAATGTTCTTCTAATATGGGTCTATACCATATATTATCCACAAAATATTAGGATCGGAATGATACTCCTTTTCGAGGTATTCTGAACCATGAAAATCCAGCTCTTATCGAAATATTAATTAGTATTGAACTAACTAAAATTATTTATTTTTAAATAATCACAAAAACAAAAACTACATTATAATTATTCTTAAACTAATAAAAAAGTAATCACAAAAATATATACAAGATCGATCATTGGTAGTGTGTGTATATATATATATATATATGGTGGCACATAGGGTTAAAAATCAATTGAGTCGAGTTAAATTAAATTAAAAATTTTGAGTTAGTCAAGTTGATGAGTCTTTTTTAATAATCAAATTTTATTTAATTTTCTTTAGTTGAGACGAGTTTATGAAATTGAGCCAAATCAAGTTATTCGATTTATGTTTAAATATAATTGAAAACATTTATAATGTTATGATAGTAATTGGTTCTAGTTTAAACCGATTTCTATTACTATATATGATATACATATATTTATTTCTTTATATTTTTTTTCAAATGTGATATATATATATTATACAAAGTTGAAGGACTCGATTCAAACTTAAAAATCTAATCATTAACCACTAATTACATAAAATTTTGAGTTATTCAAGTTCATTTTATAACTCAAACTTTCTTTAGATATTTTTAAGTCGAGTTTATGAAATTCTAAATTTAAATTTTTAAAAATTGAGTTAAGTTGATTTTTTTTTAGTCGAGTTTGGATCACCTTAATGACACTGACATAGAAAGGTGATTGGTATGATGATGACATACATGGATGAGAATGAAGAACATAAATTGTCAAGGTGCTGGCTGTAAGCCGTCCATCCATATATTCCAAGAGACGGCAAAAGGTAATAAATTAACCATCTTCGTGGCTTAACTACTTCGTGAATCAGCACAATAAACAAACCCCCAGTACCCCACCAATCCGCCACGCACACTGATAATTTATTATATAGAGAGAATGCAACAATGAGAGATGGGAGTGTGTGGAAAATTACAGGAAAATAGGAAGAAGAATGAGGTTAAAGATGATGAGTTGCAGAGAGGTGGAGGAAGAATGTCGGAGCCATGGTTCGGTGCTGGGAGGGAAGCCTAACCGCTGTGTCATTTATCCACCCGACCCTAGTATTGTTGCTGACCAACTGGAAAGAAGAAACAACAACTGGTTTGCTTTTAATTCTTTTTCTCATATATATGTTGGTGTTATCTATATTATTCTCTGTTAATTTCATGTGATTCTGCAGGTTTGTTAGGGCAAAAGTTGCAAGTGATTTGGTGGTGCAGGTTGGAGATTTTAGCTTTCACTTGCACAAGGTGAGCAACATGTATATACACTTTGTCTTTCTTTAGTGAAGCATGGGATTCATCTTAACAGATGGAAACAACTTATTTTTTGTAGATATTGTTCATGCACTAACCTAGACAATTATTATACTTTTACCCAAATTAATATTGAAGTTAGATTGTGTCGTTATCTTTGTCAAAATATTATTAAGTAAGATTGAATTTGATATTAGAGGTGAATAAAATTTAATTTGAATTGAAAATTGTGATTTTTTTTTAATTTTAAATTATTAAAGTCAATTTGAATTAGTAATTTCATTTTTGAGTTTGAATCGAATTTAAACGTCATTGTTTTTTTTATATAAAATATATGTATTAATATCCTAAGAAGATGACAAGTCGTACTATAAAAGTCAGAGTATCAACAAAACCCGACGCTCGGCTAGTCTATACAAAGCCTAGCATTTACAGGATCTAGCAATCTTTCTATCATAAAGATTAAAAGGAACCAGCCCCTTTATCGTATTAAAAACCCCCAACACACTTTTGGACGAGTCCCCAAACACTGTTTTATTATGCTCCTCCCAAATGCAATAGTTGAAGGCACTCCAAGCTAACTTGAGTAAGAGAACAATGAACTATTTACCTTTGAGATATGATGCCACCCACTCCTACTCAAGTTCCCACGAGAGTACCATGGGGACCAAGCCATAGAGGCTAAGAATGAACTTTTAATTTTGGATAATTTCCTCATTTCTTATATTTCTCCTCCATTTTAAATTCATTTTGATTAAGTTTAAACTGCACACTTATTTGATGACTAATAATGTAGCTTTACCCTATTTTTTTATTTCTCCGCATTCTATTTATGTCCCGTCCCGGTAATAATGTTTTATAAAAAAAAGGTCGTAATATAGCTTATTTGTCTTTATATTAATTTAATTTTAACATTATTTAAAATTCTTTTATTTTATATAGCTAGCTATGGTTTCGAAAAGTGGGTATTTGAATAGACTTGTATTTGCAAAACGAAGTGAGGCACATGGAGACAATGGAGCTGGCTACCTCAAGCTTGTGCTTCCTGACCTTCCCGGTGGAACCAAGACCTTCGAATCCGTCGTGAACTTTTGCTACGGCTTTAACGTTGATGTAACGGCGACCACCGTCGCTCCACTCTATTGCACCCCAAATTTCTTGGAAATGAGTGATGATCTTCACCATGGAAATCTCATTTCAAAGGCAGAGGCATTTCTCCATGGAAATTTCTTGGAAAGACACTTTTAAGGTACTCAAAAGTTGTGAATCCGTGTCACCTTGGGCCAAAGAATTGCGAATCGTGAAGCGATGCTCGGACTCCATCGCTTGGAAGGCCTCGACTGACTCGAAAGCTTTCACTCCAGGAGGAGGAGGAGAAAATAGCAATGGGAGCTCGAATGTAGGAGAATCAACCAATACTTGGTGGTTCCAAGACGTTTCAACCCTTCGGATCGATCATTTTATCCAAGTGATCGAGTCGATTAAACGAAGAGGGATGAAATCGGAGCTCGTCGGATCGTGTATAGCTCACTAGATGACGAAATGGTTTCCTAGAAAAACATTTGTATTCGATGAACTGGTGGTACCGAAGCATCTGGCTCAAAAGCTACAAAGAATTACCTTCGAAAGTTTAATCAACATGCTTCCGACGGAGAAAAACTCAGTTTCATGTAACTTTCTACTTTGCCTTCTCTAGTTAGGATTAACAACGCAAATCGATTTGGCATTGTCCGAAAAACTCGAAACAAGAGTAGCTTCCATGTTGGAGCAATGTTCTGTTGGTTAAAAACAATGGAGACGACGACTCCACGCATGATGTCAGAATTGAGATCAGAGTGGTCCAAGCTTATGTTGTCTTGTCCATGAAAAACTCTGGGGCAAGACTATGCAATGTTGGAAGGTTGATCGATGGTTATCTTGCTATGGTTGCAAGAGATGTTAACCTTGCAGTCGATGATTTCAAATCGCTCGTCAATTCATTACCGACAAACGCTCGACCGTGCGATAACAGCCTCTATCGAGCTATTGACATGTACCTCAAGGTAATATAAGTTGTTATTTTCGAATCAGTTTTTGTACATGCATCATTTCAAGTAAATCTAACATCTTTATATGTAAATGTGATACTTGTGCAGGCACATCCGAGTCTAGCAGAGGAAGAACGAACAAGTGTGTGCACAGCAATGGAGTATCACAGACTATCGGAAGATGCACGCCGGCATGCGATGAGGAACGACTGATTGCCGTTGAAGACTGTGACGGAGTTCATGCTTCTCGAGCAAGTAACAATGGCTAGATCAATGTTGACTACAAGGCTGAACATGAATCCGAGGACGACAACTCGAACGATGTTGAAAGTGAATAATAACAAAGTTTTGAAGAAGGGATTTACAACATCACAAAACGAGATTCAGATGATTAGAAGAGAGGTGGAGAATATGAAGATGCAACTCAATCAATTGCAAATGTGTAAATTAAAGCTTGAAAACAAGTCAAAAGATCATGCTTCAAGTAGAAAATAAAAGCTAAGTTTTGTTGATAAATGTTGGAGGCACTAAATATAGAGAAACAATTAAAAACACTAAATATAAACTATAAAATGACATAGTTTGAAGATTAATTTTTTTATTTAATTCAATAATTTATATCAATTACTTAAAAATATTTAAAATTTATCATATATCAAAATATTATGATGAGTTATTATAATATTTTTATTATAATTTAAATTGATTTATTTTATATATTATAATATTATTGAATTTGGATATCATTTAAGTTAGTTTATTTTTAATTTATAATATTATATTTAAAATAAATATTTAAAAAATATTTATTAACAAATTAAGGCTTAACTAAAAATTAAGTGTACAAACTATGTCTCTTTTTCACTTTAGGTGCGTAAAGTTTTTCTTTGATTTAGGTGTCATATTTTTTTAACGTTATCATTTTAGATGTCTCGTTCGACACAACCGTTAAAAAATAACACACGTGTCACGTTCATAAATTTTTATTTAAATAAAAAATTAAAATCATTATTTTTCTAAAATTAAAAGTTCTCTAAAATTTCAAAAATAAAAATTAAACCCCTCAAATCTCTAATTTCAAATCTCATTATCGTCGTCTGTCATATTCGACAGTCATTATCAAATGGCTACTCACCCATCATCGACCACCCAATGACCGACAATTGTTCTTGTCGTCTTCTCAAACTCCTAAATCCATAAATTTTCAATACCCAAACCCTTAACTCAAAACATGAACCCTAATCTTTAAATCCTTAAACCAAATCACAAACAAATTACTTGATGTTGGATGCCGTCATATCTTATTGGAGATATCCATAGAAATTGACAACGACAATCGATTGTTCAAATACTTAAAATTATAACGTCGAAAACGTTAAATACTTAAATTGATAAAAAAAACTTTAAATACCTAAAGATAAAAAACATAATTGAGACATTTATAATTTTTTAATTAAGATTAATATTAAATATGAAAAATCTCAAATCCAATCTTTTTAAAATATATGTTTTAAAAATATTTTCCAAATTAAATTGCCATCCGCCTACTAAATTCTAGCTACACGAGAAAATAAAGGGATGTTCTTCTGCTTTCAAACCCAGTCCATTTCTAAAGAGAAAAACTCAGATACAACTGGTCCCCCTACACTCAACACTCAAAGAGATTAATCCCAAAACTGAAATCTCATTCCCTCTTTATTTCCTCTGTAGAGCTTTGTCCAAGCTCTTTTAACGACGATTTTAGGGTTTTATTTCCCACAACAATATCCAAAATGGTTAGTTCTCTCTTTTTCCTTCAGATAGATTTTGGGTTCGTTGGTTTATGTTTGATTGCTGCTTCTTAATCTTAAATAGAAACTGTTGATCGTTTTACTCACGGTAATTTGGTTTTTTTATCTGTAAGTTCTGTTTATGGGTTATTATGGATATAGATTTCTCTGTTCTCAGGTTTGAAAAAAAAAACACCCATATAATTTTGAGTTCTAGAAAGCATAATCGAGCGAACTAGCTGAAATAAAGGATAGGTTTTTTGCTGAATTTGAAAAAGGAACAGCATAAAAGACTGACGGAAGAGAAATCATCCATCAGTGTTTTGTTTTTCTAGATTATATTGATTTGCACAAAATTATTTTCATTGTTCTGCATGGGTTTGCTTCAGGTTTTTCTTTTTTTTTCTATGCTAAATTTATTGCCCAAAGCTGAGTTGGTTTCAATTTCAACTCTGTATTATTTTAAATATTTAGCCCTAATTTGGAGATATACCCAACTCGTTGCCGTCCTTTATCCCCATTCTCTTAGAGATAAACTTTATGACATAAAACCATTTGTTATTTTTAAATGTTTTAGCCACATGAACCTGCATCCACTCAGTGCGTGTGAAAATTTGTAGCTTATTTCATGTGAATGCTTTTGTTGTTTTCGACAGCACAAATTGGGCAGAAGTCATCGTGGCAAAGTCCAGCAATTCATGACAATAACTGGTGCTAGGTAACCTCATGTTCTTTGGTGGTTTATTTTCAAAATTGTTGCTAGCGTGGAGGTAGTTTGAATATTGATTGAAAAATGGTTCATGAGTAATGACTGAAAATAAGGATCAGTAATATGGAGAACTTAGAAACAGGATATTATATAATACATACTAATAACTATACAAGTTCCTTTTGAGCCTTCATAATCAGCCTTGGCATGCCTTTGGTGGATTTATTGACTGTTGAAAGTGAAGAATGCTGGCTTTTCCTTTTCCTTCATTTTTTTCCCAATATAAGACTTGGATTCAGCCCATTTGCTTATCTCTTATTAACCTCACTGTTTTTAATTTTTAGCTTAAGGAGTTGATTGATCTCAAAGTTTAACTAAAACATTGAAATACATTTTCTTAATTCAAATATGTGCCCTTAGTTGCCACAAATCTTGTTCATTTGAAATAGTGATCAGCAGTGTTGATATCATCATATGGACAATGGTTTTAGAAGTGTTCTCTTTGCTAATTGGCAAGAATGTTGTTTCTATTTTTGTCATGGTGGGCTTTAATTGACTCAATCAATTGGATGATGCTCCCACACAACTTTTTTGCTTTTTGATGACATTGATAATGGTTGCTTCCCTATTGAACTATTGAACTAAAATATCGATTTTTTAATGAATTTTAAATAACTTTATCATTAGTCTATTATTATGCTCCTATGCTAATACCATCTGATTATGGCCATTAAGAAAGTTAACTTTTCTAATTTTTTATGTTTCCTTAGCGTACCCGTTGGTTTCCTTGAAATTTAAACTACCTTGTACCCCTTCAATGATTTTTATGTTTATGTACATATAAACGTGCATGCTTTCAGACATGATATCTTTGCTTCTAGTTATTTAATCAGTTTTATAGTCTTCTTTTTTTACTAAATTACAGTCAATTCCATATGCCGTTCTTCTATAAAGCAAGAACCTCACATTCAAAAACATATTAATTCTATGCTTATTCACTCAAGCCACTTCTTAATATAAACATTTTCTGTACTTTCCTTTCTAAAACTTGAACTGTTTTAGGTTGATTAGGAAACCTACCTTATAATCCAGTATTAGACATGCCTTTTCAATTTAAACTACTTTTCATGCCTATTGTAAATACCATGGGTGTGGAATATCCCTTTATTCTTCTTGATTATTAGTTGGAAAAACTAAATTAAGTATATTCTACTGTTATGGAGGAGACCTTACTATGCATGCTTCTTAAAAGCACAAACTTTGCAGTAACATATAAAAGACCATATGATCCTAGATTTTCAAAATATCCTTTAATATTTGTTAATTGTTTTAAGAAGTATACGAATCATTTCTCTATTGTTATTTTAATGTAAATTTTCTGTTGTGTTCCTTTCTAATTTCTAAAACTTGAAACTTTTCTGGTTGCTTCAGGACCCTATCATATTATGTAATTACATAAATTCCTTCTCAATTTAATATACTTTTCATAGCATTTGTAAATACCACAGGTGTGGTATTTCCCCTCATCTTGTTGTTTATTAGTTGAAAAACTAGATTAAGCATATTCTGTAGTTTGTAATAATGCATTAGTGATACTCTCTCTTTCACTTCTATTGTTCATGAATTTTACTCATTTCTTTATTTAATTGCAGTGAAAAAGCTTCTCTTCAAGCTTTGAAGGCCAGTGATTGGCATCTTGAAGGAGCTTTTGATTTTTTCTACAGCCAGCCACAAATTAAAAGTTATCCTGATACTAAACATTTGGAAGAGCTTTATAACAGATATAAAGGCTAGTGCTCTTTCTAATTTTTGTCTCTCTCCCCAATTTGTACTCTGGACTTCCTATATGTCTTTCTTTAGTGCCATTGAAAAGTTAGATAATACTATAAGTGTGCAGATAGAGGTTTGCCGTATATTCTCGTTTTGTTTTAGTATTGTTGATGCAAGGTTGACAGAGAATGCCTTTGAATTCTCTTGTTTATTGGAGATATTTATATATTTTAATATTTTGATTTTGTGAAATCTATGAAGTCACTATCCACTACTTGCTTTCCATCTATTATACCTCGGCTGTATGTATTACCATGTTTGATTCGTTTCATAAGAAAATTTAATTGTTTTGTTCAGATCCCTGCACAGATATGATATTGGTTGATGGTATTACTCTTCTTTGCGACGACCTTCAGGTAGCCTTTTTTTATCAATTAAGCATTGATGTGGCATTTTGACCCATTTGCATTGCTTTTCTATTATCTCATATGTAGATAAAATTATGTTTTTTTTCAAAATTTGGATGATGTGGGAACCTTTTTTTTCTGACAGGTGGATCCTCAAGATATTGTTATGGTATGCCTGCATCAGAAGCACAATCGGTTGTAATAGAAGGCATTCATATGAAAAAAAAATTATTATGTTTCTGCAAGTATATTATCTGCTTTAGCTTATGTTTTGCCAAGGTTCCAAAGTCTTAACAAAAGGTCTTAGAATTTGGCAGAGGTTGTTGGCTAGTTTTATCTCTCTGCCACTTGTCTTTTACACTGCATGTGTGTGTTGACCTCGGTATTTGCTTTTTTCTCATCATGAATACTATTAGTTTCAGGATTTACATAGTTGTAGTAGTCTTGACAAATGGCGGTAAAACTTTTTCTAAATTATCTTTTAAAGTACCTGGTTGGAGTTAAATGGTTTGCTATTTAGAGTTTGTGAGAGCAAGGTTTTACTCTTAACAAAAGCTAACGAGGTAGAAGAATTATAGGGTTGAATTTTTGCTCACCACTTCTGGCTAGCACAGATTTTCGGTCTCTTATGTTAATGACGAATGAAAATGACTATAGTTTTGGGTACCTGAGAATATATGTTACACTAACACTAGAAAGTTATAACCTTGTAGGAGCTTTGATAAGATGTCAATTATATTTACAAGTTGTTACTAGCTCCTATCTGATTTCCATATTTTGTGGACAGCTATACTAATAATTTAGTAAATTGCAGTTAGTTCTTTCATGGCACATGAAGGCTTCTACCATGTGTGAATATTCCAAACAAGAGTTCTTCACTGGGTTGCAGGTACTAGGGTAAGTATTTATATTTTTTGTTTTTCAAAATATTCTAATTTGAAATGGTATTATTGGACATTTGACCTACTGTGGAGATAATGCTGAAAGAAATATTTTTTTAATGGCAGGATAGATTCTTTGGAGAAGTTTCGTGAGAGGATATCATTCATGCGCTCTGAACTTAAAGATGAACGTATGATCAATGCTTTATAGATTATAATTTCAGTGTTCAATTAAAATTTATTTTAGCTTGTGACACACATATGTATGTAGACAATTAGCTTGTCAAATAGGTTAGGTTTATTATTATGCTTTGACTCTAAAAGTAAACATATTATATTGTTGGTGTTGCACACTTATTTGCATCTTTGCCTCTTTTGACTGCAGAAAAGTTTGGTGAGATATATAACTTTGCATTTGGCTGGGCAAAAGAAAAGGTATACCATCTTTCATGCCAATCATCCTTAATAGTAAGTTTTCTCTTGGCAGAGAGAGAATTCCCACTAATTGAGTGAATGGTTTTGGTAAAATTTGTTAGCATGCAGATATTTTTTTGGAATGGTGTTCCTTTTTTTTTATTGTCAGAGGCTGTCTTCCTGACATGGCTATTCCTGTATTAGATCCGTTTTTGAATATTTATGTCACAAAAGGCAAAGTTTTGGCCTTCAGTTTCATTTTGTCTCTCTGCTATTTTAAAAATAAGTCTACTTTGATTTAATGCTTTCTGAATCAACTAGAATATCATTGTGCTAAAAGATGCATTGCCCTGATATTAATGGGTACTTAAGCTGTATGCATGTACTGATATTTTATTGCATGTCTCAGGGTCAGAAATCTTTGGCATTGGATACTGCAATTGGTATGTGGCAATTGTTGTTTGCTGAGAAGCAATGGCCATTGGTGGATCATTGGTGCCAGTTCTTACAGGTACCTTAGAAAAATATTGTGCTCTTTCCTTCTTAGTCATAATCACTAATTTGGGAGTAATAATTTGCAGTTGACATGCAATAAATTAAACTTTATTCTTTAGGTAATAATTCTAAGGTATAGGATTCATTGTTTAGGTTATAAATTAAATTATGAACTTATATGATATGACATTTCTGCTGAAAAAAGTGATCATTCATAAATACAGAGGTCTATTATTTCTTATGATTAAGTCAATCTTTTAGGTAGCTGTTTTCCTAGGAATATCTTTACCATGAACTTTTAGCTGAAAACTTAGAAATTGGTGTTCTTTTCATTGTTTCTTCCATAAAAGATGCAATTTTTGCATTTAGTAGTAAGCTCCATAAAATTGCATGTACTATCCTTCTGCCTATCTAGGTTTTCCAGATATTATAAAAATTTATGAGGCTTCTTGCATTTCTTCTGCATCAATCTCAACTTTTTGTTGTTTTGTAATTGCATTTTATGCTATGATGCCATTCGGACCAGGCTCGACATAACAAAGCAATCTCCAAGGATACGTGGTCTCAACTTTTGGAGTTCGCTAGGGTAAGATATAAAAGCTTCAATATCACTGTTTCTCCTGTAGTCTTGCTTGCATATACATTTGAATCAGCTTTATTTAGCCGTCAACTGCAAATTGTTAGAAAACTTAATGCCACTGCCAGACTATGTTGCACTAACTTCATTGTGTCATGCATGACACCATTACTCGAGAATGAATTCCCCAATGTCGCATGTATAGATCTAAGAGGCTGGCTTGTCAGATTAAAATTCTACAATATGGGATAATGCTAAAAATGTTGTAGTTACTTGGATGCATTTGACCTTCTTGGTGAGTAGTGGGTATCAATTAAATCGTGTATACCACTTTATTTCTTTCTTCTTCTTTTTTTTATCGAAACCACTTTATTTCTTTTGTTGTCTAGGATCAGGAGCAATCGCTGGCACCCCTACATTTTTCTTTCTTTTATACATCATCTTAACAACTTAAATTTTATTTTATCGATTCATACATAAAAGAGGAAGAAATAGTTGGATTTTTTTCTTGCTAATCCATTTTTTCTTTTCTTTTTTCTTTTTGGGCTTATGCTCTGTCCTTTTTGAGATTGTTCCTGATGTTTTGAATTGTTAATGCGTGCTGAATTCTTTCACGTCAGGTTACTGCATGTAAATTGTGTATCGAATACATTGGTTAATTCTTTTAACGTCGTATTGTGATGCAGACAATAGACCCTTCACTATCAAACTATGATGCCGAAGGTGCATGGCCCTATCTCATAGATGAATTTGTGGAATACTTGAACGAAAATGGCATCATTTTGAGTAGCCAGTCAACGACTGATTGGAGCCAAAAACGATGAACAACTGCTGCATGATTTGTGAGATTTGTGTTGTGTAAGTCTTTGATCTTCTGAAAACAAGATGCAGGGTATCCTATGTGGTCTTTATATCAATTTCAATCGACAAAATCTACACATTTTTACTCCATGGGATTGTATTAAACTGAATTGCATCACCCATTAGACAAGCTGAACAGCTGAAAAACAAAGTTTCTGGAAAACCTAATTATTTAGTCGCCCATTTATCATCATGTTTTTGTTTGTTGCTCAATTTCTAAAATTTTCATTTAGTCACTAACGGTAGATGGTGACATTACTAGCATAATTACATATTTAGTCTTCAAATTTTGCACATTCTATCAATTTGGTCCTATTTCAAAATACTTGAATAAATTCAACTTTTCAAATTTAAGAATTCTACGGCTTTAAGCCACAAACATGTATAATCATCAATTGGTAAGTAAACTTAAGTGGTAATGATGCCAATTGATGAAAAAAAATGAAAATTGAGGGTTGGACATTTAATGATTTATATTTCCTTGGCCAATTTGGAATTGATGCATCCCGATAAGATCTGAATCGATAAAAGAGGATTTGGAATGTTCTATGAATAATCTTTTCTTGCAATGCCTAGCGGCTATAGCATCATGGTTCAATGGGGTATTATTAATTTTTAGAATTAAAATATTTAATTATTGAATTTTAAGGGGAAACTTCTCACAATTCATTTTGCACCCCCAAAAGCTCCTTGGAGCACGCATCCAACTTTCAGAAAAATTCCACTAATAACACTAAATCCACCATTTATTACCAATAAAACAAACAAAATTCGTCCACAAAATGAATTCCTAGCTAATTAGTGGACATAGATTACTTTAGAAACACAAAATTGCATAACCACTAAGGTTTCAGTGCTGGACAATCCAGTGTACCAACCAATCAGATTGGGCAACTTCACGATACAATTTCTCATTGGAATTCAAAGGTTCACCATGATCAAAGTTAACACTGCCTACGTTGTTTTTCAAAACTAAATTGAAAAGATTCACAGACACACCTGATATACCAACACGAAAATTGATAAACAAAACCTTCAATAACAGCTCTCTTGAAATTTCTCAGATGGCAACTGCAATCCTTCCAGCCACTTGGTCCAGATCACGCTGTCCATTTGATGTGATTCTCCTTCCACTGATACACCAAATGAAGTTCAGTTTCATCTTAGCAAGTAACAAAAGCAACTAACGAACAATATAACAGACAGTTACAAACCACCATTCTATTTACATAGTTTCTGAAACTCCACAATAAAGTTTCTTGATTTAATCTTAAGAAACCAATATAAAGTTTCTTGAACATATTAGGGTTTTTGTGCATGACAAAATTTATCTTTGGATAAATTTATATCAATATATTTGTTCCCTCCTAAGAAAGGGTATATGCTTCAACATTCTACCTTTCCAAAATTTGTATCAGTAATTTTGAGAACGTGCATATGAAATCTTTTGAATAAGAAATGATGCAAGCAAAATTGTTCTCATCTACAATCGTTGTTAGGGGTGACTAGCTATCATAATAGTACTAGCAATGAATGACTAACTCCAGTAGCAATCAGACTACTGCAACGACAAAAAACAATGGCACTAATGAAAACTCACCCTTTAGGATCGATATCGATGATGTTCACATTCTGCAATTGCTGAAGAATGTGACGGGCAACAGATCCACTGCTCTTGCAGAAATGGCGTGGGCGACTTCCATTTCTCTTAGACCCTCCATAAATCCTCCGAAAGGCACCAACACCAAGGCCTCCCCTCAAGTATATCTTCCTTGCCGTGGAAGCTACAAATCAAAAGCAAATAACGTTGATAAGAGCATAAATACACATACAAAACTAGACTCATTGGCTTATAAGCTAAATTATAATGTACATACCAGCTCTAATATAGTACCAATCAGGGTCGTAGGGAGGAAGCTCCTTGAGCTTACCAGTCTTGACGATATCAGTCCACGGAGGAAGCTCGATCTTTTCAGTTTCAGAACAAACAAAGTAGGATTAGAGAAGAAAAAGCCTTTAATTTTAAGGAAGGACAACCATGGATCAATTACAAACCCTAAAATGAAAAACTAAGAAGCGAACCTAACTACATCTCTGAGAAATTGAATGAAAAGGAGATGACGGTGAAAGGAAAATACCTTGCCGGAACGCTTGAGATGGGCAGCGTAAGCCTTGACGAAGTCATGAGGGGAAACGTCCTTAACTGTTCTGGCTGCCTCCATTGTCTGTGTATTCTGCTTCGGCAGAGATCGCACCGATGATGTAGCCAAATACGCTTGGTGCGGCCCTAGAGGAGAGAAGGCAATATATAAGATTTGAAGGGAGCTAGGGCTTTGTGCTTCGTTTAATTTTAGGCCCAAATGGTTTTGTAACCATTGAGATGCATTGTCTTCAATTTCTTTGGTTTAATCTATTTTGATACATTTTAATTTTATAATTAAAAAAATAAATTCTATTTATTTTAATATTAAATATTTTGTCTTTCATAATTTCATTATGATTCCATCCTTAATCACATATTTATATGGAACATTACAAAGTCAAGAGAAGTAGAGATAAATAAGAAATCAGATTCAAGGAATTTCGATTAGATTTTATAGCTTTTAAAAATATCGATTTTAGATCGAATTAGATCAGATTCGGGTTTTGGAAAAAAAATTAAACTTGACCAAAATAATAGTGTAATTATCTCTTATATATTTATAATTGTAATCATACATCCTCTCTATAAAAATTATATATATGTATGTGTGTGTCAACTCGAATGTAAATTTTACATAAAATGGATCAAATGTTAAGTTGAATGAAATCTCCTTAAATTGATATTTTTCTCGAATCAGGTCAGAATTGATAAGAAACTCAATCTCTATACCATAAAGAGAAGACAATGGGAAGAACAACATAACCATGCCTACCGAGAAACAAATCGAGTTGCCGATGCCACATCGACAAAAAAGCCTCCGTCTAGAATCATGAACCTACTTTGGGGTGATGCTATGTGTATGACCTTCGAAAGAAACTGTCCTTGTGAATGAATAACAACCTTTCATCTCAAATATTTGTCCTGATCCTAGTTCCTATACTAACATCAAATTTTAATTTTAATTATATACTTCAGTATGTCATTTTGGATCATCCTGTTACTCGTTTTTAGATAACACAGAATTAAGAGATTTAATTTTATTAAAAAAATAAAAAAATTGAAAACCATCTCAACTTGGACTAGGGATGGGCATGGGACCCGAACCCGATGGGTTTTTGACCCGACCCGATCGGGTCCGATTTTTTTTTAAAAAATTGTGTTCGGGTCGGGTCGGACTCGAGTTTAGGGTGAAAAATACCCGACCCAAAAAAATAATTTTACCATATATATTTAGGAATAATTACAATAATACACCTCTATATATTATTTTTTTCAATTAAATCATTATTTTTATTAAATAAAAATAATAATATTATTATTATTTCGGGTCTTCGGATTTTATCTCAAAAAATCGGGTTAGGTCAGGTCGGGTCGGGTCGGATTTCGAGTGGATGAGTCATTGTTCTCGTGTCGGGTCAGGATGACCGAAAATCCGACCAAACCCGACCCATACCCATCCCTAACTTGGACCAACATTTGAATAATATCATTTGAAATCCTGTAGAGATCTATGAAGTGATTATAGGGATGAAGAAGTCTTGCATTGAAAAAATTAGATAGTATGAAAATACATATGTATGATGAATTTAATCAAAGATTGGATATTACCTTGTAATTATTTCATATTATTTATATAAAAAACTGTGAATTTATCCTAGTTTACTTGAATAAAATTATGAAAAATATATTTACATGTCTTATATGAAACTTACCAAGAAATTTTACATTTAAAGAATAAATTTCTATTAAAAAAGTTAGAGAATGTGGGGTGATTAAAATAATATAAACCCTAAAATATTAAAAAAATATAGAATGTCTTGAAAATAAAGGGATCATTAATTTCATGTAATATGTTGTGAATTATATAAGTTTGTAATTTATATGTATAAGAATGATACGTTAATAAACTACATGAAATTAAGAGAATTTTAATCCTTTTGGGTTGAAATGTCCAAAATTTGGATGATATATGTTAAATCCTAGTATTAAAAGATTAAAATTGATAAAAGATATTTTTTGAGTAAAAATCCTTTTACATAAAAACGTTGGGTAAATTACATGTTAAGTACCATAATTATCACTTTTGTTTCATTTTGATAACAAAACTATTATTATTTTTAAAATCATACCTAATATTTAGTTTTGATCACTCGCCGTTAAAATATTACCGTTGATGAGATGATTCATCAAATAACTTTCTCAGCATAAATGTTTACAAATAATAAAGAGGAATCAATGTTTCACATTGTAAGAATATTAAAATTATTAATTATTGAGAGATTTTTCTTGACATAACATTAACATGGTTAATATATTATGGTTAATATATTAGATATTAGAAAAGTTTTAAATATTTACTTAAACATTTAAAATATAATAACTTAAATATTATAATTTATCAGAAAATATCATGTAATCTTAAAATGATATTACGATTAGATAATTGATAATATATATTTTTTCTAGTGAGTGTGTCTTCATCTCGGATAAAGTAATTTTTGAGAAAGCTTGTAAAATAAATTAGTTTTAATATTTCTACTTTGAAGTTTGAGACGATAGCTCGACTCAGTTGAGTAAGAGGTTAAATGATATAGAGATCTATTTTATTAAGAATCCTTTGTATTTTTACGTGATTTATAACTCACTATAAGTGTGGTTAAAAACCAAACCTAAAATTATAAGAAAAGGCATCAATTTATAAAAGTAAAGATATAATACTTATGTTGAAGTACGAAGAGATTAAAGAGACTTATATTGATCCCTTAACTTAAGAGTTTAAAAGAAATGGTTCATGATTAGTCGAAGGAGATTGATCTTAAGCCTATAATTCATGGTGAATACCAAATTTAGTTTTTTTAAAGTGTTACGTGGTCAAATGAATTCATGAAAAGATTCATAATGTACATCTTTAAATGTTTCTATAACGAACAATGTATATGCATAATGTTAAACTTTTTACTCTGAATGATTAATCCAAGATTTGATTGGTCTTAGTGAGACGAGCTTGATGAATTCACTTA